GAAACCTCAAAAAGCCCACACCACTTAACCCTTCCCAAACAACTATCCTTCCACCAACTAAGGACTGAACCTTCAAATATATGAACTGTTTCATCCTCCAAGTCCTAAGGATTTTCTGTTTTCCAGGGTCTTTTCAAGCTGAGGCTGCAGGGATGGTTGTCTTGATCAGCTCATCACCCCAGAGCCTCTAGCATCTGTATGTATTTATCCCTAGGGCAGATATATTTTGGAACCAAGTTATCAGGTCTGGTTAGGAGAGACAGGAGGCATAAAACCCAATTGTGCAGCTGTCCATGCCAGCTTGAGGCGGTGTCCTGAGCAAGGCGGCAATTGTTGAACTCTACAGAGGTAGAGACTTGTACTGTGGCACACAGTGGGATGCGCTCAGCTGCTAATTCCCCAGCAGTCAGCAGTGCTCTTGGCTCCACCCATCCACCCCGCCTCAGGTTCCTTCCCCAGTGGTGACTATCTGGTCTGTATCCCTTCCAGATGAGTACAGAAGGATGGATGTTTAGGTACAATGAAGAATAGGTGCTGTGGTTGGTCCCCAACCCATGAACAAAAGTTGCTGTTGCTTTCAGCTTTACGAGATGAGGGATGTCATTATTCTTTCCTGCAGCAATCTGGAAATACTATTCTGGAATAAAATCTGACATAGAAATAAACCTGGGGAACTAAGAAGCAGACCGATGAACTTTCTCTAAGCTCTCATTTCATTTATTAAACCTTTGTCAAAACTAGTGAGCAACATCAATAAGCATTTAATGTTGACTGGAGAGCATAAAGTACTAAGACTTGAGAGGCGAGGATCAAGTATAAAAGAGTGAGGCAGAATACCCCCTCTCCCAGCATGGGCCAACTTGTTTTGGGGTGGAAAGCAGGCTTGCCTGTAAAGAGAGTTACAAGTGTCTGGTACACATTTCAACATGCTATACTTAACAGAAGAAGCTAGACATGACTGATGCCATTTTCATTAGGTAACTTTCATGACCTGTTCTAAACGGGAGATGGCAGGTTTACCATTACGCTGTGTGGATTTCTCCAGAATGACTTACATGAAATTCTGAGTGGGATTTAAGTGGAAGTAAAATAGCAAAACTGTAACCACAAATGGAGGTAAAAGAGAAAGGACAACATGACCAGGACTTCATGGCCAATAGAGAACTGTGCTTGTTCAGGGGTCTAAATAAGGATTTAAAGGCATCCATGGAATGCAGTTTGTTCCTTGTCCACAATGTAGAAACAAAAGCTAAGTTCCTACACTCTAACAACTGGCCATGACTCCTTGGAGCCTGACCTCTAGGGACTTAGTGATGTTTTATTCAGACATATAGACCCTAACTACTAACGATCCCATTGTATTTTATACAACTTGTGCTGTAAAATTAATTACTAGTCAACAAAAGTGAGGTGCCTACCTATCTATTCAAACAGCACCCCCCACAAATGGTTCTTGAGGTAAGACCTAAGACCTCTCCCTCTTAGTGGCTGATGCTTTGGAAACTCCCACTTCCTCTTCTGCAGTGATTTATTGTTTATTTTTTTCTGAATAGGGTTTCCATGTGTAGCCCTGGCTGTCCTGGAACTCACTCCGTAGACCAGGCTGGCCTTGAACTCAAAAGATCCACCTGCCTCCGCCTCCCGAGAGCTGGGATTAAAGGTGTGTGCCATCAATCCTGGCTTCTTGGCATTTTAATGTCTCAGTTATGTCCCCTGTACATTCTTTTTACCCACCCATGTCTTCTGACACCTGTTGAAAGCACATTAACCCCTTTACTCCTTCCTCTTCTGGAAGCAACTGATAACCAACGAAGCTTTTGGAGAAGCAGTATGATAGTTAAAATTATGTTTGTGGAAAATCATAGGTTCAGAAAAAACAGGGAACAATAAAAACAATCATTTGGGCTGGGATCAATTTGGGCGCCAAGTTATATCCCTAAGAGGCTTAAAACTTACTCTTATATCAAAGCTTACAACCCAAGAAAGTCATCTAAGCTGTGGGTCAGAATACTTCCCTATTGATCCAATCTCGTCTGTGTTTTATGCTTATAACCAAAGTGTCTTAGTAAGCCTCACTGTATTTTCCTCGAGGAAAGAGAAAAAAAGAAAGCTTGGTGGTACCAGGGCATGGTACCACTTTACGACTGAACTTACAGTCTCAACCCTGTTATTTAGCTGGGTTGTCTTCCATAGTTGTAGAAGCTTAGAACAAAGGATGATGTAATTGCTTGATGAAAATGTCTGTCATTTTAGTGGTAAGTTTTTAACCCTAAAGCAAAATACTATGAAACAAAAAAGTAAAATCCATGACAGCCAAGCCTTTCTTGGTTTTGAAATGCAAATTTCCCTTTATGTAGAGATGAAAAATTTCACTCCTTTTCAAAGAAATGGAACAATTGACCCCGTGGCTTTAGCAGGGAATCCAGCTCCTCCATACGACCAGGCATGCACGGTACAGGTGTAAACCTGCTGCTCAGTGTGGTCCTTAGGGCAGCAGGTTGCACAACTTTGGGCCTCATCCATCCCTCCTGGAACAGCATCTAAATAGAGCTTTTGTCTATGAGTGCACTACTTCCAACCATTAAGCTAAGCCCCTAGTTTGAGAATCTACATCTTACCAAGATCTCTCTGTGATTGAGGTACACATCCAAGATGTAAGAACTATTCCAGGGCTGGCAAGATGGCTTAAAGGCAAGGGCACTTGCCAACAAGACTGATGACTAATCTTCATCCTTACGACCAACATGCTGGAGAGAGATTCACTATACCCAGTTGTTCTGTGACCTCCGCATGCGTGCTGTGGTTTGTACATTTCCACCCACATTTAGACAAAACACACGAATGAAAAAAGGACAGAGCTGTTCTAGACAACACTCCCGGTTGTTCTCCAGAGGCTGAGCACCACAATGCGGTGGGAAGGCAGCTTGGTCATTTCCACCACTAAACAGCTATTTCTCAGGACTGCTGTGAGAACCAAATGATCCAGTGAATTCTGTATTCTGGTCCCAATCTACTTCCTAGACTTTATTCTACACTGCCCTCTACCCGTGCCACCACAGAAAGAGAATGGCATTTCTGCTTTAGGACCTCACACAACTTTCTTCTCCACCTAGAATTCCCTGCCATGTGATCTCTGCATGACCAGCTTGTCATTCAGACCTCAGTCCAAGTATCTTTACAGTGGGAACATCCTAGACTGTGTTAATCAGTATTATTTATGTCAACTTGACATAAACTAGAGTCATCTGGGAAGAGGAAGCCTCATTTGAGAAGATCCCTCTATCTTGTAGGCAAGTCTGTGGGGGCATTTTCTTGACTAACGTGGGAGTGAGGGCTCAGCCCACTCCTGGGCAAGGTGATTCTGGGTTGTATAAGAAAGCAGACCAAGCAAGCCATGGAGGTTCGGTCAGGAAGCAGCTCCCCTCCATGACCTCTGCCTCCAGGTTCCTGCCTTGCCCTCCCTTAATGGATTAAGCCAAATAAATCCCCAAGCTGCTTTTGGTCCACGTTTTACTGTGGTAATAAAAAGGAAACTAGGAGAGGACTTGGTACCATGGAGTACCATATCGTGGGGGAGGATTATGGGAAGTGTGTGGAACTATGGGTTGCAAAAGTGATTGTACACCCAAAGTTTAATGGGTTGTTCCACGGGAACTGGAAGATAAAAATGCTGAGAGCAGTGGAAGCCTGAATTGTGAAGTTACAGAACAAAGTTTGAGAATCTCTCAAAGGATTTGTTAGGACTGTTCATATATTTTGTATTAAACAACTGTGGTTTTTAATCTGCTAGGGCTGAAGAATCAGCTGTGATTAGCAAGGCTAGTGCCACTGAGATAAAATCTGGGAAGTATTTTCTAAGGATCAGCACCCGGTGAAGCTTTATCTCAAGCTGGTAGGCAAACTTGGTACAAGTAAGTCTTCCATATGTACTGGCTTTGGCAACATGGAAGCTGACAGGTCTGGAGAGGACATGGAGAGCAGTTGAGGCTTGGCACTACGGGAAGCCAGGAGATGCCATTGGTGAAGATAGTCTCAGTTGCAGTGAAGACCCGACAAATTAGAAGCAAGGATCGTGGGAAGGTCATCAAGGACAGCAGCAGGTGTGGACGAGAGCTGGCTTGAGCCAATGAGAAAAAGTGCATGTGTTGCGGATGGCAGAGTTGAAGAAGCAGAACTGCCTAAGCTTTAAGATCATGAGTGAGTAAATCTCAGATACTGTACAGATTTATACCGTTGGTTTTGGTTTTGCTTTGTGCCTGGTTCGTCCCTCTTGAAATAAAAAGCATGCAACTTAGTTTTGACTTAACAGGAACCAGCTTTTCTAATTTTAGAGACTGGATATTTTAAGGAGACTGAATTTTAAGACTATAGGATTTTGAAAGCTAGATGTATTTTATATTGTAACATTGATATCTTGGGGATAGACAAGAAAGTAAAGATTAAAATTTAATAGTAATGTTTAGGTGTGTCGAGTAGAAAAGGAGTCAACGGTGCTAGTTACTTTTTATTTTTGATCAACTTGACATAAGTTAGAATCCTCTCAGAAGAGGAAATCTCAGTTGAGAAAATGCCCCATAGGGAAGTTTGTAGGGGCATTTTTTTTCTTTCTCCAGACAGGGTTTCTCTGTAGCTTTGAAGCCTGTCTTGGGACTAGCTCTTGTAGACCAGGCTGGCCTCAAATTCAGAGATCCACCTGCCTCTACCTCCTGAGTGCTGGGATTAAAGGCGTCGTCCACCACTGCCCAGCTAGGAGCATTTTTGTGATTAGTGATTGATGTAGGAGGGCCTAGCTAACTGTAGGCACTGCCAACCTTGAGCAGGTGGTCCTGGGTTGTTTAAGAAGACTGAGCAAGCCATGAAGGGCAAGCCAGTAGTGTTCCCCCATGGCCTCTGCTTCAGTTCCTGCTCTGACTTCCATCAGTGATGAACTTGGTTGTGGAAGTAGAGGAGAACCCAAGCTGCTCTTGGTTCTATTGCAGCAATGTAATGCAAAGTAGGACAGCCACACGTCTGCCGCTCTGGAGAGCATTCTGTGCAGGAGACTTAACCACACTTTCTGAGCAGGGACAAGGAATATCTAATTCAGGATTGTGATCCTGGTGTTCCAGCAGCTGTGCCCAGCACGCGGTCTGCTCACTATACATTACTTAGTGCAGAGGACAAAGCTACTCTGAAGAGTGCAGTCGACTAGAAGAACATCAAACACTTTTATTTACAGAGAACCTTCCTTGTTTTGACCTACTGGGGTTCTCTTGGCAGTGATAGAAATTACACTGGTTTACTCTCTGATCATGCTATGTAAGTGAAAATCTGCATTGTCACGAAGAGACTGGCTGGGCATGGCGGTGCACATCTTTAATTCCAGCAACAGGGAGGCAGAGGCAGACAGGTCTACATAGTGAGTTCCAGGAGAACCAGAACTACCCCATCTCAAAATAAGTAACAATAAGTAAAAAGGAAAGGCTGCTTTTCATCAGTCTCGAGGTGCTAACTCATGAGCTGTCCGTCTTCCCTTCAGGTGTTAAGCTGTTCACATTATGCCATTTTACCCATATCCCTGGATATGCTGAGGTCCCAGCTTAGGACAGTTCATAATGATGATGTTTCGTTCAGAGGCTGGAGCACAATGGCCTGAAGACCTGATAGGCAAAACTGCCTGAGACACAGGGAGAATCTATTTCCTTAGACACTAAACTAAGAATCGTCCAAAGACTCCTTCTACCACAAGTCTGACATTTAACAGTGGCTTATTTAACTGTGACTTTCATCAGTTATGCATGACAGAAATTTGTGTTAAGTTCAATATTTAAGGTTCTAAAACATTAGGTCACATATTATATGATGTATAAAAGTAGCTGCTTATAATCTTCTACCAGGAAAGCTAAAGGATTTCTCTTGTTACCATCAAGTTATGCTCAATTCATCTCCGCATCATGGCAGGGCAGAGAAGCCTCTTCGTGACGTTTCCTGAGTTCAGTAAATAGTAGGAAAAAAAAGGCACACATCTGACAGTCCATTTATTTGCTGAGAAGCCAGACAGAGCAAGGGCCCCATCTGCTGGTGCTGGCTAGAACAGCAGGGAGTTAGAGAAGGCTGTGGTGATGAAGGAAACCCGCACTGATCTTTTTTCCATGGCCAAGTAGTCCGCATGTTGCTGAGAAAAGCCTACTGCATGGCTTCATTATTCTTAGACACAAAAGGAAATGGGGTTTCTAATATTGTCCATGATTCCACATCCTCAGGCTTGTTAGTTGTTTTATATTAACTGAACGGCTCCAGAAGCAACAAGAGGTGCAATGGTTTTGTACCGGATCAAGTGCTGTGAGCCCTCCTCCAAGTCAATAACATAGTCTCTGAAAAAGAGGAGATGTTTTATGTACAGAGCTTAGCCACTTCTCCATGGGGAAGCCACACCCTCTTCTGGTCATGCCACTCACCTCTGCTCATCTGCTTCTGGTTCTACGAGGATGTTTTCTTGTCGCTCCTTCACTCTCAGAAACACGTATGAGTCTAGGTCTGGTTTGGGAACTGCCAGGAAGAGACAACTGTAACCATAGAACAGCTGACATGTTCAACACGACAAAAGTCACTAGGGTGAATGCTGCTGAGACTGGTGATGAGGAGGGGGATGCGAGGGGACTCTCCTATGCAGCAGTTTCCTATTTTGAAAGGGGTTCATTCCAAGAACCCCAGTGGATAGTACCAAACCTTGTATATACCTCTCTTTATGTACATACTTATGATAAAGTTTAATAGCACTGATCATATAATAGAGCAATTATACTGTAATAAAGTCAATGTGGCTTCTGTTATTGACCTGTACCCACCTTAAGCCTGTGATGAGAGGACATAATGCCTACATGATAAAGGAGATAAACTATTAGGAGACAGTTTGGGCACCACTTTAACACAAGTACCGAGGTACAGTATCAGTGATCCGATAAGTGAGACTTCATAATACTGTTCAGAACAGCACAGGATTAGAAACTAGGTTTTAAGTATTTATGTGTATGAGTATTTGCCTGCATGCAATGCCACAGAGACCAGAAGAGGGTGTTGGATCCCTTGGAACTAGAGTTATAGACAGTTTTAAGTTGCCACGTGGGTACCAGGAATTGGACCCAGGTCTTCTGTAAGGGTAGCAACTGCTTTTAACCACTGAGCCATCTCTCTAGTCCCAACAGCTCAGGATTTAAAAATTACGAGTCATTTCTAGAACTGTCCAGTTTGTATTTTTGGAACATGGATAACTATAGATAATAAATCTTGAAAAGTGAAGCCACAGATGAGTAGAAAGCACTGGACACTATGGAAGATACAAATAAGTATTAACACATCTCCCCAGACGATGCAGTAACAAGCTGTAAGCCAAGGCTCACGTACTTTCAGTAGTGTGGACAAAGGAGCAGATGTGCTTCTTTTCTTTAAATAAAAGCCCAGGGTTTAAAGACGAGAAATGAGACTGACATAAAATATACACGAAGATCTAGGAGCTTATGTGCAGGGCAGCGTGGGTTACAGCTGAGTGCTAGCAGTAGACAAAGCAGTCTCTCAATGACGAAGGCTAAGGACCTGCTGCTCCCCTTCCACCACCACTGCTCCAGTTTGCTCCAGGTCTCACAGGCTCAACTACATCTCTTTGGAATTCATATATGCAAGTTATAATTTCTGGTATTTGGAATGGAACTATGGAAGAAGGCTTTTAAGAAGGTGTTTAAGTTTAAATGACACCATTAAGGATAGGTCCTAAGTCAATCTGACCTGTGTTCTGATAAGAGGAGATTAAAACACAGAAGGGTATAGTGACTTTAAAAAGAGGTCCGAATGCTTGCCTCTTCCCTTTGGCTATGGAGGACACAGAGAAGGAACCATGAAGGGGACAAGTTCTTATTAGACATCAAGTCTGGTGCCTTGATTTTGGACGTCCAGCTGCCAAAACTGGGAGCTGTTCAAATGTACTAGGACTTGACTTTCCTTACCACAGGCCTCCTGCGGCAGCACACACGACAGGGCAAGAGATGAGGACACCACTGTATGTGTGCCCTGGAGACACTGAGCGCAAGTTTGTCTTATCAGACTGCACTGTAGCAGACTGTGAAGGCCAGGGACCCACAAAAGCTTAGCTGGCCAAAGTTTACAAGAGCTGAAAAGTCCTTTCTAGAGGCAGAAAACTGTTTCTAGTCTCCTTTGTAGCCACCACATTCTAAAACCTATGACACCTGTGAGAGCTGCTCCCCTAGAACTCAGAAAGGTCCAGGACCCTCCAAGATGCTCAGAAGGTATGCAGCTGAAGAAATGAGGAAGTCTGTATCTGGGGTAGCTGCCACTTGCAGGACACAAGGGTGAGTACTGCTCAAACAGTGGCCTTGACATCTAGTTTTGATTACTTTTTTAACCAGACCCTCCCTCTTTCCTCCTATTATCTTAGTTACATATTTTCCTATACTGACTAAAGCGCGCCGACTCTCAGCTGTCTGAAGATGTCCGGGATGTATATTATGGTCCTGATGCTGATCTGGAAAAGGCATCTTTGCTTACCTGCCCTCAAGAGGTCCACTTTCTGCAGGTTGGGAGGCATGTGCTTTAAGGCAACATTTCTAAGATGGGTCTCTGTGTGATTCATATACCTGGAACAAAGAAATTCAAACTGGGGAAGTAGAAAAAGACAAGATCTCCTGAGTTAATTGGGAGCATGGGGACCTTGGGAGAGGGCTGAAGGGGAGGGGAGAGGTAGGGACGGGAGCAAACAGCTCTGGTGTGCAGCAACAGGACCCACCAGGGCTACCTGGCTGACCACTGTGGACAAAGCCCACACGGGACGCCAGGTGCAGAAGCAGTTCCACATCTCGTGTTCACTTACTCTTTGACAAAGACAAACTCCTCTGGAGAAAGGATGGAAGGCTCCCCCAGAGTGCGCGTTTTCTCCTTTTCTAGGATGTGCGGGAAAAACTTCTCTATCTGTAAAGATAATAAAAATGAAAATTCATTATTTAGGGTTCATATACTTGCTTCTTTCATCTCAGTGCCTTGCATAAACTAGGCTAGTGCTCTACCACTAAGCTACACCAAGCTCAGTTTTATTTTGTGTGTGCTTGTGCATGTTCATATGTGTGTGTGGTGGGAGTACACGTATGCATGTGCACACATGTACAGGCAAGAAGACAACCTTGGGTTCATTTCTCAGGAGTCAATGACGTAGACTTTTGAGACATTGTCTCTCACTGTCCTAGAGCTTGCTGAATGAGGTTGTCGCTAATTTTAAAGTTGACAGGAAAGGGCTACAGAAATTGTTCAGTGGTTGAGAGCATTTATTGCTCTTGCAAAGGACATCATGGCGCCTGGTTGGGTAATTATACTTCAAAAACTTCAGGTTGGTTCAGTGTAGAAAGACCTTACTGAGATGAATCTAGTTGTCAGCTATGCTAATGTTATCTTAAATGGTGTCCTATCCACCTTCCATCCTCAATAACGGATGTGACTGTTCTATTCCACTGTAGTTTGATCACTTCTATGGAATAGGACAATCAGATAGCCAGAGTTACACACTGAGACCCTGTCTCAAAAACAAACAGTTTCAACTTCATTTTTGTAAGTCAGGCTGCCACAGAGCTCTAGTAGAATGGCATTTATCATAGCCCATTTGACAGATGCTAAATAACTGGAAGTGGCTCTCACTAGCCAGGCGGCTCTCTCTCCCGAGGAACTCTGTCTTTAGCTCTGACTCATTCTAGCTCCAGAGGGCACCACTGTCATCAGATGAATCAGATTTAAAATATGTTAAATTTTCTTTTTTCTTTCTTTCTTTTTTTTTTTGTCTTTTTTGGAAGGGAAGGGGAGAGGGGTAAGGGAAGAAGGGGAAAGAGCAGAGAGAATCAGAGAGAGAGAGAGAGAGAGAGAGAGAGAGAGAGAGAGAAGGGGGAGAAGGGGGAGAAATGGGGAGATGGCGAGAGGCAGAAATTGTCTTTTCGGGGGAGAGATGGAAAAGCTAAAATATGTTAAAATTTCCTGGGCTTGTCCAACCTATAGCTTCAGCTACACTTCCCAGAGTATAGTCTCCTTATTCTCTGGTTTTAGTGTTGCTGGGCTCTTAGAATCTGGAGGCCCTCAACTTCTCCCCATTCTATTCAATATTCCAAATTTTACTGGATTAACACCCATCAAACCTTCGTGAGTCGACACCGCAAGTAGCTGCTAAGGACATAGCGGATCCTCTCCATCTCCATTCGATGAATGCTGACCTTCAGATCCCCTCTTTGGGCTCTTCTGAGATTGTCTTCCTATTATAAGAGAAATTTAAGTCATGATGTTCAAACACTAAACAATATAATAAACATTGGCAAAGTCAAGGACCAAAGATTATGCAGTTCTAAGATAACAAAGAACTCTATTAGGTATATAATTCTGAAGTACCCACTTTAAAGATGACTATTTGAATAGAATCTGAAAATGAACAGTCACAGGACTCAATCCAACTGTGGAGGAGACAACACGGCATAGAAATGTCTAAGGGCCTATAAACCAGCGTGGAAAACTAGGTTAGGGGCTGGGGAGACAGCTCAGCGGGTAAGGTACTGTTGGCAGAGGCTGCTTGTTTGTTTCCCGGCTATCCAGAGTCCCGAAATAATCAAGCAGAAATCTGTATTCACTGCAAACTGTTGGGCCAATAGCTTACGTTATTTTCTAGCTAGTCTTATTTACTAAACTAACCTATCTCCATTAATCTGTGCATCAACACAAGGTCGTGGCCTCTGGTAAAGTTTTGGCAAGCTTCAGTGGAGGCGTCTGTCTCCTGTGGCGGCTATATGACTCCTCCTGACTCCACCTACTCTCTCTCCATATGCTCTTTCTTTCAGCCTAGCTTTACTCTGTTAAGCCACTGGCCAAAAGCAGCTTCTTTATTAACCAATGGCAATAAAACATATTCACAACATATATCACGTCCCACATCACTTCCTCTTTTCTGTCTAAATAAAAAGGAAGGTTTTAATTTTAACACAGCAGCTAATAACCATTGTAACCTAGTTCCAGGGAATCTGATACCCTCTTCTGGGCTTTGTGGGCACCAGACATGAATGTACCACACACACATACATGCAGGCAAAACATTCACACATAAAATAAAAATGAACTGAAAAATTTTATGGAAACCTTGTAGTTTATAAATATAGATGCAATGACCAACCTTAGCAGTCACCTTGACCACATCTGGAATCAACTAAAACCCAAGCAGCTGAGCACACCTGTGAGGGATTTCCTTGATTATATCACATGCGATGGGAAGACTGACCATACACTCGGTGGGTAACCTACATAAAAAGACACGGGAAAAGGAATCTCCTGCTTTTTGCCTGCTTGCCCTCAACGTTGAGGGCAAGTTCATCTGTCCTTCCCTAGTAATAGAACACACTTCTTTGGGATTCCAACTTGTACTGAAGATCAACTGAGACATACACCTTATTGGACTGAATTACTTTCTATCAGATTCTTGGCCTTCCTGTTGAGAGTCAGACCACAGCCTGTAAGCCACTGCACTATGATGTGGGATTCCCCTGTGTATGCAGTGAATACTATTGGCTAATAAAGAAACTGCTTTGAGCAGAGCGGGGATGAAAAGAGTTAGGCAGGGAAAACTAAACTGAATGCTGGAAGAAAGAAGATGGAGTCAGGGAGACGCCATGGAGCCACTGCCAGAGACAGAAATCCCAAAACTCTGTGGGTAGGCCACAGCCACGTGGAGATACACAGATTAATGGAGATGGGTTAGTTAAGGATATAAGAGTTAGCCAGAAATACCCTTAAGCTATTGGCCCAACAGTATAGTAAATAATACAGCTTCTGTGTGGTTATTCTGGGAGTCTGGGCAGGTGGGAACACAAAAGTGGATTTCTACTACAGCAATAAATTCCCCATAGATATTCATCTTTCAATTCTCTTCTTCTAGAGAATTTGACTGATACAGTTGCAACGTCTTTTAAAGTACTGGGCTGAATCAAACAAGGCTTGCTGTCAGAACACTTTCCACTATCCTGACCAAATGCTTTCAGCTTTCTCCTCTGCAACTCTTACCATGTGCTCTAACTGTTCCATGACACACTCGACAATTTCAGACCTGCTTTCCAGTAGCTCAGGCGCAAACTTCTCATTCATCCACGCCTAAAACCAACAAGGAAAAGATGAGCGACACAATGGAGCAAAATACACTAGAGACAGCTCACGGGCCCAGGAATGTTACATGCATCTCACACAAGACTAGCAGAGGGGACAGCACATGCTTTACGGTGCCTCTCCATCTCTACTTTTACGGGGGAAGCTTTATTCAACTGAAGAAAATGTTTAAATCACTGTTTACTTCATTCGTCACCATGGTAACTTCTAAGTAATGCCACCTGGTGCTCTAGCCTTACCTGTCACCTGAGAGCATCAACTGGGAACACATTTCTACTTCCTTACCAATACGGAGCGTCATTCATTTTCTTCCTTTCTCCTTTGAGGCAGGAGACCAGTTGCAGACCACACTGGCCTCAATCCCATTGGCCTGCCGCTACCTTCTGAATACAAGCATTAAAGGCACATGCCACCACACTTGGCTTACACTTAATCTTTCTAATAACTGTTTTGTTGATGCTACTTAATCTATTAAGTGTGTGTGTGTGTGAGAGAGAGAGAGACAGACAGACAGAGTCACGGCACATGTGTGGCGGTCAGACGACATCATGTAAGTCCTGCTGGTCAAACTCAGGTCGTCAGGTTTGGAGGTGTCTTTACCCACTGAGCTACCTTGCTTGCCCAGAATAATTACCTTTTTTTTTTTGGTTTTTCGAGACAGGGTTTCTCTGTGGTTTTGGAGCCTGTCCTGGAACTAGCTCTTGTAGACCAGGCTGGTCTCGAACTCACAGAGATCCGCCTGCCTCTGCCTCCCGAGTGCTGGGATTAAAGACGTGCGCCACCACCGCCCGGCCCAGAATAATTACCTTTCAATTACAGGAATTTCAATTAGCTTAGTTAAGATTCATATGACAATCACGCTCAACCTTTCTGATTTGCTTACCCAATTATCATCATGACACAGTAAACATTGTGTTCTGATATAACTGTAAATTTTATTTTAAACTTTTCTAACAGTGATACATCTATATAAAGAAATTCGTTGCAGTTCTGGGGATGAACCCAGGGCTTAGTGCAAGGTAGGGCAACTCTCTACCACTGAGCTATACATACTCCCAGCCTCCAGTCAGAATATTAAATATATTTATCATTGTTACGAGCTGAATTTTGTTCATTAAAATCTGTGTGTTGGCTGGCTTCTGACTCAACAGCAAAGTAGTTGCCTAGCATGTGCAAGCTCATTGGTTCTGTCTTCAGAACCACAAAAACAAACAAAAATTCCTATGTGGTGATCCTAACTCAGTGCCTCCAAGTGTGGCTGTTTGGGAACAGGGCTTTACGGAGGTGAAGGTGCTAATGAGAGCTCATTAGGACAGGACCTAATTCAATGTGACCTGTTTCCTTTTCAGAAAACCAAATTTTATCACCCTACAGCCAAGAGGTCAGATTAAGTGAAGACACAGGAGAGAGCCACCTGCAGGCCAAGGAGAGAAGTCCCAGATGAAAGCAACCACGCAAACCAGCCTCTTAAATACAAAAACAAATCTCTTGGGTAAACCACTCAATCTGAGCAGGATTATGCAGTCCCAGCAAACAAATGCAATCACGGAAATGAGAAACAATGCACTGCCAGAAATCTTTTTTTTTTGTTTTGTTTTTGGTAGCTTTGGAGCCTTTCCTGTAAACTAGCTCTTTTAGACCAGGCTGGCCTGGGACTCACAGAAATCCACCTGCCTCTGCCTCCCGAGTGCTATGATTAAAGGCGAGTGCACCATCACCCGGCTTGCAGGAAATCTTTTAAACCTTTTATTTACAATACACCTTCCCCTTTCCTTTTCTCCCTCTCACCCCTCCCATATCCAATCCCCTCACAAATTCATGGCCTCTTTTTAATCATCGTTACACACACATGCAAATAAGCACACAGCTACAGGCTGCTTAGTTCATTTAGTGTTACTTGTATGTATGTTTTTAGGACTGACCGTTTCGTATCGGATAACCATAGGGATTTCATTCCCAAGGAAGACTAATTCTCCCTCTCTGAGCAGTTGGTGACTGCCTGCAACTAAGTCAGGGGTGGGGCCTCGTAAGATTTTTCCCACTCAGCCTGGGATGCCAGCTGGTATTGTCATGCATTGTTCAGGCCTTGCTTAAGCAGCTGTATTATTGTGCTTTCACGGGTATAGCTTCCCTGTCATATATAGAAGACAACTGCACAGCAGATTTCCTGGTCCTCCGGCTCTTAACAATCTACTCCCTCTTCTTTGATGTTCCCAGAGCCTCAGGGGTAGGGGCTGGGTTGCAGATACATCCATTGGAGCGGGGCACCCCATGGCCAGCTGTCCTCTAAACACCATTCAGGAGTATATGCAGCTCATGCCCCAGAACTTGTGGGGGATCGTAGTGTGTGCTTTACAGACAGCACATAGGTGGCAGAGGCAGGCGATCTCTGAAAGTTCAAGGCCAGCCCTATCTCAAAACCAACCAACCAAAACCCCAAGCATTTTCAAAACTCCTAAACTACCAGTTTCATGAGATTATATATAAATATATGTATAGTTTTATGTGTAATTATATATAAGACTATACATACAATAACATAAAACCTCATAAAACCTTTCTATAAAGCTAAGTTACCAGAGCACAGAAATAATCATTACTATTATGACTGGAAGGAACGTTGGTATTTTTTTTTTTTTTTGCTAAATCAGACATTCTCCAGGGGAAAAAGAAACAGGCAATAGAGAACTGCAGACTCCCACCACACACTTCTTTATGTCCTGAGAATACCACTGTGGTGCCCTTGTGAACTGTTCTACTAAGCAGCGTTACAAACGTTACAAACGCTGCCCTTTGGAAATAATCGTTCGGCGTCCTTATTTTCTGAGCCCTGGTATTGCCCACATGGAGTGAGTTAAGGCCTAAGAACGGGGCACAGGGGTCCTATTTGGGGTGCTTACCTGCTCCAGCCTTTCAATGAGCTCAGCAGGAGTTAGGACCACCTCCTCACTACCCCCATCAGAGTCCTGTCCGTGGAGATCCAGCTCCTCGGTCATGGTTTCTGAACCAGGAACCTAACGGGAATAAACCAACACCCTGTCACTTTTTTCCCCGTTCACTTGCAAATGCCTTTTTAGGTCAATGTTTACTGGGGCTGGAGGACCACCGGCCAGGGATGGAGAACTCACATACTAATTTCCAGTGTTGCGCTTAGTCCCTCAAGAATTAGGTCATTTTCTCTAATCTTTTCGCACTAAACGGAAAGTGCTCCTTTTCGTCCCCAGTAGCAGTGGTTTTTTTGTTTGTTTGTTTTGCCTTAGGGGCCCAGATGTGAAGCTCACCTCGCGCTAAGTGCCTGACACAGCCAATCCGCGGCTAGAGCTGACCCACGTCACCCGGGCGCCCCTACGCTCACCTCACAGCAGTCACTTAAGGCGGCTACACGGAGCGGCAATTCGTCTTCCCTCCCCTTTCGGCCCACACGCTGGCGGGGAACCGCGCGCGGAGTCACCACCGGCGGCGGACTCCGGGCTGGAGCTCCCGCGGAAAGGATGCTGCGGACCGCTTCACCCGGACCCAGCCTCCGGAGGTGCAAATCCCGCGCTTCTAGCCCAAACTCAGCGTCCACCGGAATGACGTCAGCGCGCTGGGGAGCACTAACCAATCACGCAACGGAGAGCGTGCACAGGCGCCACCCTTTGCCCCGTCCACCAAAGGGCGGGCATTCGCGGTGCCACGGAGCGTACTTCCGGAAGGCGGTGGCGAAGGCTGGGAGTGCAGGCTCGGCTAACGCCTGCTCGGGCTCGCCACGTGGGGGCGCTCACCACGCAGCGAGGGGAGCGGGCAGTGCCGCCTGGCGGCCGACCCGGGCAACCGCCTGCTTCCGTCTGTTAAAATCGGTTGCTTCTCCTTTGCATGGCTCAGCTACACCGTCATCTGGAGGCCCGTGAGAAATGCAGATTCTCAGGCCCGGCCTAGGCCGATGCATCAAATTCCTCTGATTGTTATGCAGGCGGTTTGCTTCCATTCAACATAGAGAAGGAAATGAAGAGAGAGAGTATGTGTACGTACATATATGTATATGTGTACTATACACACACACAGACATATACTGGGTGTATTATTTCCATTGTCTGGTTACCAGTATTTCTTTGAATTATAGATGCTTTTCTCTCTGACATGTTTTGTTCTGTGCAAAATGTCACATTTGACAGTCCTAGATTTGTTTGTCTCTAGATCGGAGGACTGGGAAATTTTCTATGCTATGTTGACCAACTGGAAAACAAGGGAAAACAAGCCGTTAGACTGATATTGCCTGGATTATCATAAAAATCACAGGTCTGGGGATATAGCTTAGTTGGTAAAGCGTTCACTTTGTAAGCAGGAGGGCCTGAGTTCAATACCAGAACTTGCATAAATGAGTGGTGGCGACACACATTTGTAACTCCTGCAGGTGGAGACAGGAAGATTCCAGGGCTTTGCCGGCCAGCCACTAGCCCTATCAGTGAGCCCCAGTACCGTGGAAAACTCATTGGTTCACCAGAGTGACTCAGTAGGACCTTAGGAGGAGGGGGAGATGTGACTTCACTGTCTGGGAAAAAATTTTAGTAAGTGTGTGTGTGTGTGATTGCATGTATGTGTTTGTATAGGCATGTGCTTCATATGTACATGGATGAGAGAGGCCAGAGGTCAACAACACTGGTTGTCTCCATCCACTGCTCTCCACCATTTTTTTTAAAGATAATTTTCTTATTGAACTTGGGATTCTTTAAATTAACTGCTCTGGATGGCCAGTGTTCTTCAGGCTTCCCTTTTCCTCCCCAGTTCGCGGGTTACAGATACAGCACTATGTGATATTGGGGATCCAGAATCAGGTCCTCGTGCACAGCCTTCCTCTCCAGCCTGCTGACCTTTCAAAGGTCTCACCTGTCACTAAGAAACAGCCCCCCTTTGACATTTAATGTGGATTGGCTTCAATGCCAAGCCAGTTGCACTATCATTTGATCGATTCATAAATATAGATGATAAATAAACTACATACAAGAGACCCCATTGTCCGTCCTCTGCATTCTTTTGTACAGAAATGTTCTCCGTTATTTGAACTGTTCTTTTTGATAATGGAAGAATGCCTATTCTCTATCCAGGAGTCTTCCTTTTTAGTGTGCATGAATATGAATTCGGTGTGTGTGTGTGTGTGTGTGTGTGTGTGTGGTGCGTGCGCACAGCTATGGGGGCGGTGGGGACCATCTGCCTAACCATAGAGTCTAGAGAATGCTTCATCATTCTCTGCCTTGTTCCCAGGAGAGAGGGTCTCTCGCTTAACTTGGGGCTATGCTGACATTAAGGAAGCCCCAGCGATGCTTTGGTATCTGCTCCCCACATGACTGAGGTTATAGGTGTGGTTAGCCATACTGAGCTTATTAATGAGGGTGCTAAGGAATTGAACCCCAGACAAGATTGCACAGCAAGCGCTCTTACCTGCTGAGCTCCTTGTTTATTCTTAAGGATTTATCTTATTTGTTTTATTTGTGTTATGTGTGTGTGTTTGTACAGGAATGTGTATGCCTACTGAAGCCAGAAGAGTGCATGGAGTCCTCATGGAGCTGGAGTTACACAGGGCTGTGAGCTGTTCAGCATGGGGTGCTGACAACCAAACCCCTGTCCTCTGGAAGGGCAGCAAGTGCTCTAAACTAGTGAGTTATCTAAACTTCCTCATTAGAGTTTCGGAGATGGAATCATATTGGAATTTTTAGTTATATACACCTATAAATTATGCATCTTGACATACTAATACTTAAAATAGAAATAACAGCAGTAATAGAAAGTTGCAGAAATTTAAGTTTTTGGTAGCTTACAGACTTTTGGCATTATTATACTTTTGGCCTGCATTTTCCCATAAAGTAATTGGTATTGACAGGGATGCAGCATGGTGGTACAGTACACTCTTAACATGTGCCCTGGGTTTTACCCCCAGCAACAAAATAAAACAAAATCTCTTTCTACAGTTTATCACTGATGTAAAAAATTATTTATATTTGATACAGGGTCTCATTATGTAACTCTGACTGACCTGGTATGTATATCAGGCTGGGCTCAAGAGACCCACCTAACTCTGCCTCCTAAGGTGTAAAAATTTTAACATTCATTAAATAATAACATTAAATTATTTAATAACATTTAATAATATTCTAATAACATTAGAAAGGTAAATAACAAAATTATATGTTCAGGGTCATAATTCATTATATTGATTTTTTTACTGTAAAAAAGCTTGGAACAGATAAGGTAAATTTCATCTGCAGAGTAGCCCAGAGTGACAGACATTACTGTTTTTATCTTTAGTTATGAAAATATCATTTGACTGAAAATGCTTAAGTTGGTTATGAGTTTGTGTTGTTAGACCCTTTGAAACAAGAACCAGCAGCCTTGGGTATCTGGAACATTGCAGTAGATCCTGTAACACAGTTGCCATTCTAGAAACTGCTCAGGCATAAACTTGGGTTGTGACCCAAGGAGCCCTGTGAATGCTGAGATAACCCTGGGCTTTTATCTGCCACAGGGCTCCATCTTTGACGTTTACATTAAGTGAGGAATCCAGCTTTACCCTGGACACCTCTTGGGGTGGTGCTCATTGTGGACATGGCAATTTACACAGACATACAAAAGGCAGTTTGTTGTGTATCCACCCCTTGTAGCCTCGAATCTATGTTGTCCTGGATAGCCTGGAACTCGCTATATAGACCAAGGTGGCCTAGAACTCACAGAACTGCTTCTACTGGGATCAGCTACTATACCCAACATACAAATTGTTGATAACAAGTAGTTTTTTGGGAGCATTTTCTAGACATTTTCAAAAGTACTGAAAACATAAAATATTCCCATATTACCAACACAGGGGCAAAGATGTAGCCCAGTAGCAGAGAGCTGGTCGGACACATGTGAGGCTTATATGTGATCCCTCCCACTGGTGTTGCTTTTCAAATACAATTCGTCAAACATCCACGAGAGCAGGAGCATGGCGTGGACGAGCTGCACATGCCAATCCTACGCTGGACAGAGGCTGCATCTGTGTGCATCTCACATGCCAGAGTATGGGTTCTCCTTTAGCTAAGTTCCTTGACACTGGGTGGATGCCAAGTTTAGGAATTATCAAAACGTTTTGAATGTGAATTACGCTCACTTCCTGCCAGTGAATTAGTTTGAAAATACGAGGTGAGGGAACACAACATGGTCAAAAACGATAGGATTGGCATCCAGTGCACTCATTTTTAGATCCCTCTTTGCTTTTTCTTCTTAAAAGACAAGACCAACTCTGTGACACCCCACACATCCCGTAAAGTCTCACTCTGGAGCACTCTGCTCCTAAACTCAAGCCCTTTCTCTGAAATCACAGGTGTGCCTAACCACACCCAAATTCAGAAATTGTTAAACAAGGTAATTTATGAACCTGAAGACTTTATTATTTTGCTGTGCTGGGGATGACGCCCTGGGCCGCATACATGCAAAGAGCTTTACCGTAGAGCCACGCCCCAGCTAGAATGAAGTAAAAAAGCAATAGCAAAAAGCTAAGTGGATTACTAGATCAATACTTGTATTACTTAGAGGCAATAAAACAAACAACTGGGCACAGTGGTTTGTGCCTGTATGCTAGTCCCAGCTTAGGCACAAGAGCCACCTGAGTCCAGTTTAGTCATGAAGTTCCTGTGAGTCTTTTTCTTTTTTGTAATGGATTGAACTTAAGATCTCATATGTGCTAGGCAAGTGCTCTACCACTAAGCTATTCTCCCAGCTCCCTGACTTAAGAAAATTGTTCCTCTAAGGTAGAATATGTTGACTAGCCATAATCCTTGCTTGGGTAACTGCAACCCCACCCATGTATTGATTTGGCATGGGTGGGGGTGGTCATACCGAAGCAAATGTGGCAGTCAGAGGGCTACTTGTTGGACTTATTTCTTTACCATGTGAGTCCTGGGGATCCAGTTTGGGTTGCCAGGCTTGGTGGCATCTCTGAGCCATCTTATCTTGAAGCATCCCAGAAGCTTGGCAGTCTAGACACGCTATCTTGCTAGGGCAAACACGGTGTGAATTAGATATTTGCTGTCTTTATATTTTCAAGTTTTGTGCACTGGAAAGTGTATGGCTACATGTATTGCTGTCTCCTCATTTCAATAGTAAGATGGCAAAATTTTCTTGTAAGAAAATAAGCTCACAGTAAAATGTCAGAATAGACTGTATTTTGTATCCTTTTAAAAACTTGTGTGCCTGTACCTGCCTAGTATGCATGTAGAGGTCAAATTCCAACTTGTGGATTTGGTTCTCTTCTTCCACCGAGTGGGTCGAGGAGACTAAACTGGTCAGGCTTGGGGCAAGTGTGCTTACCCACGCCATCTCACCATTCCTATTCTGTATTCTCTATAAATCTACCACATTTTTTAAAAAGTCATCAGATGATCCAAGATATTTCAGTAATTCTGACAATGCTTTTCTAATGAAAACTATCAATTTATACTAAGTGAGGGTGGGTAAGATGTCTCAGCAGAAAGTCTCCAGCTACCAACCTTGATGATGTGAGTTTGATACCTGGCGTCCACAAGGTGGAAGGAGAGAAGTGACTCTG